ATGATTAAGTTGATCCTTAGAGATGACGGTAGAAGAACCTTTAATCATTCAGCTGGAGGGCTATCATTCAATGTCACTGGCAGGATTCAAGCCTTCAGCTGTAATGCATTTTAATGATCAGAAGTTTTTTTATATTTGTTCTTTTTTGTGGGGGGGGGGTACTATTTTAAGGGTTCTGCACTGTTATCATTATAAACAATATCAAAGGAAAACAGAATAGCAATTTAGCACATTAAACCAGTGTTGAAGAATATTTCACCTGGACATCTTTTTTAACAGCCAACAGCCAAAAGCAACCATGTTGTGTTGACTACCAGCTATTATAGGACCAGCACACTTCGTGAATTTATGATCATATCCTCCTTAAGTTCTACCAGCAAGTGTTACATCTACCATGAAGACCTTCTTTAGAATGTCAGACAGACTCTTAAGTTCAACCAGTAATAATTACTTTACTATCATAAAAGTCATCCAGGTTTCCACCATGTCTTTATTTATACCACAAGAATTTTTTCAATTATGTGTTTACCTAAATAACAAGTGACAGGCACTTTAAGTTTACTTGTTTCCTTATATAGAATGTCACCAGTCAAATAAAGTACTTTCATCATCATCTGTTTTAATAGGACTTCGTAACATAAGATAGCCTTGGCCGACAAAAAATAGATATCTCAATAAAAACGTGATCACTGTCTAAAATTAAACACACTGTCTCTCTGATATCAGAAAATTCTTGCCAAATTAATCTCCTGAATAACCTATATATGGAATGAGATTCTTCTTTTGAATATATTTGGTAAAAAAAATCTCTGACAAGGCAAAATCTGTGTTATTACTCCTTACATCAGATCTTTCAGATAAGTTGTGATCAAAAATGGAGATTGATCCATCTTCTAATGCATTATCCATAGCACTTTAGTGGTAATGGTATAGGTTCTCTCCAAAAATATTCATACCCTCACAAATTTTTAGGCATTCCATTATAAGGTCATCTATATAAGACTTATATGGTATGGGATAGCATTTTTATCAATAAAAAATACCTTTTATACTACATGTAATACTTGTAGAAGATTGAACATTATTTTCTTATTGTATGCTTTATTAAGCTTTCTCCAAATTAATTTGTACCTCTATGTAGCATTCATTCTCTTTGTAAATTTTCATTTTCTATGAAACTCCTTTTTCCAGCACTATTCGTTTAACAATATAATATCTGTTGCATAAACTTCTTCTGAGTTATGACAAGCAGTTTTGTACCAAGTTTATACAGGTTTCCTGAATCTTTCTTTAGTTCTACATCTTCTGCATCAATCAAGACAGTGGTGATTGTCAACTCAACATTTGAGCCTAATTGCATTGTGCAATAAAGGGTTGGTGAAATTTTGGGCAGTATCTGTATTCATCCAATCTACTGCTTAATTACCTGGGACTCTCTCCTTATAAAGTGCATCCAATTATTTACCAGCCCAGACAGTCCAAATGATTCCAATAAAATACAAGGTATAAAAACAGGAATGGAAACAATTGATGTGAACTGAAGCTTGAAAATGTCAATTTTCCTACAGGGAATCAAACAATAATTTATTATATCACATATCAGTGAGTATAGTTAACTTAACAATTGTTCAATAAAACAATCATCATAGTAATTGGAATTCTTGTATTCATAAAATAGTGATGACAACAGTGTTATAAGTATTGCTAAAAATATTCTTTTTTTTTTAACCAGTTAACTATGTCCATGCTGCAGATACCTATCTTTCTTAAAGAACATTTTTACAATAATCTGTCCCATCCATGGATTACATTATAGTTATAATAACTTATAACACATTTGAGTTTCTTTACACAAGTCATATGACTGTCATTCATAACACATATGATGATCATTCATAACACATATGATCGTTATTCATGACACAATATGACCATTATTCATAACACATATGACTTTCATTCATAACACATAATGACTTTCATTCATAACTCATATGACTTTAATAACAAACATAACTTACTTTCATAACAAATACGACTTAACTGTACATCATTTCCTAAATTACACATTATAATTTAGAATCTTTAAATATAAAGATAAAGTGAATATTTATTAAAGTGGTTTAAGTACTTAATGCATTTAATGTGCTTCCAAATTCTTTACACCTGTTCTTAAACTTTTAAAGTAGGATATTTTGCAGACTGGAAACATATTATTGTAAATAAATTGGTTCTGATGACCCTTGAAAAATTTGAAACACTAGCTTTTGGTTACTTTCTGTTTATATTCAGAAAAACACATTCATGCTTTTCTTGAAGAAAAAATGCTGATATTTACAACTATTATCATATATAAACAATCAAGAGCAGTTTATTCTAGAATAATCTACCTATCATAGGTAACTTTATTATTGGTAGCACAAATAAACACCTTACTATACTGTCGGAAAATATAAACCTGTATATATACAACTTATATCATAAAATCAACATCTAAAGCCTTGTAGGTATTTTGAAACTGTTGTTTCTATGCCAAGATCATCACCTGGCATTTAAGGTCAATGGTTTGTAAACATGGCCTTTGCTTTGGACACTTAAGAAATTTGTGTATAAACAACATAAGAAATATCATCATATTTTACTTTTAAGCTTGGTTTTCTTCGCTTTTTTCTTCTTACTTTTTTCTGGCCCTTCTTTTCATTGGTTCTAATACACTTTGTCAAGAAAATCTAAATGTTGTATTTTTAATCCTCAAACATAGTCAGATCTATTTCCAATGATTTTGTTGCTAAAAACTTTATGCAATTTGAACATTTATACATTTCTGGGAAAGCTTTTTTGTTCTGTCTATGTGCAAATAGCATACATTTGTAAGCATACTAATTTAAAGTACATAAGTTGAACCAATCTTTTTTTAGCAAGGACCTCTTATCAATATTTCTAGTGAAACCTTCTTCGTATTGTATCAAACTCTTAAAATAAACTCGGAAAGTATGTAAATTTTCTGAATTTTTCTATACGTCTTTCTGAAACGCACATCGAAATTATGGGAAAAACCTTAAGTGACTTGTCCTTCACACGATACTTTTCAAGTGCTTCCTATAAGGAAAGGAAACATTCAATTCATTGTTGTAAGACAGAAATATTATCATACCATTGACTCACTTACATGCCTCCAATCACGTCTTATCATCTAAATTAAGACGCATTTTAAATACAACACTTACAGTTTCATCAATACAAATATAGACTAAAACGCTTTATTCACAAAATCCTAAGTTTTTATCTCATGAGACATCTAATCCATGTGGTGAGAAAAACTTTACTAATTAAGTCTCATAAATGAAATTTTTGGGATTTTTCATACAGGCATAAAATGTTCCTATTATCATATTCTAACAACATGCCAAGTTTAAAGAAATTCTATTAACAGTTTTAATTTTGCCTATATATCTATTATGAAAACTGCCAAAAATGTCCTTAAATCAAAACTTGATGTATAAGGACTTTAAATATACAATGTATAGATACAGAAGGTATTTGACAGGACTTAAAATTTCTTTAGACTAACATGGAATTTTTTGTGTCAAGTGACTTTGAGTTACTGAGAGTCTACTGTATATTTATTATTTCTTAGTAAAACAAAGCCCCCCATTTCTATAATTATGATAGAACTATAAATGTGTTCCGAGGTTGAAGTTATTTCTGAGCAATTCAGCCTCATGTGTCATGTGAAATAACAAAAGTACATTACTTGGCAATAAGGAGCACTAATCCCAATGATGAAGATTTCAAAAATATAATCAGCATAGTATCATGGTATTTTACATAGCAATATCATTAGTAATCCCCTTCATACTTTTGCAATTTTCTCTAGAAAAAATCAAAACAATTTTAGGTGCAGGGGTGGTTGGGAGTGGGCAGGGGGCTAAAGTGACATTCACATTATAAGGTCACATTGCAACTTCCTAGATCTGAGTAGAACAATTGTTTAAGGGCAGGTATATATCTATTTAGTCAATGCAGAGGCATGTACATCCCTGCCATTATTACTAAAGCATCTCTGACCAATACCAGTGACTATATCTGTCAAATCTGATTTTCTTAAACTTTTACTTTATACATGTTCACAACCCAATCTTTAGGTACAATGTCAAAATGTATATATTCCTTGACATTTACAGCCAGGTAATCTCTGGCAATGTCAGACAAACAAGTCATATAAACATAGTCTCGACATTGGTAATCTCTTTTTGTTTTTTGGCTAAAAATTCATTCAAAACTTCCCAAGTTCCTAACCAGCACTGTCAGTGATGAAAACTTCCATCAGCAAACTACAGTTCAATAAGAAATCTGCTACATTGGTAAGTCAATTGAGAGCTATTTCTTGAGGTTATTGACATATTTCTCTAGGTAACAAGGTAGCAACTGACAGACATATTATGATTTTGTCTGGCACACACTGTTTATTTGATATTAATGTTAGAATTATATGTAATAAAATTACAGAATAAGCTGATACGGCTTTTTTAGTTCTCACAGACAGACAGCGAAATTTATTCTTGCATGCAGGTATACATTAAATAACAGATCATGATTCTTGTGACCACACACCATTGAGACATGTATTTTCATATGCTTGACTTGGGACGCAATGTAACAGCTTAATGCAATGACTACACACACACCAGTTGTTTTATTATCGAACCATACCTGACAAATGACATCCACTTGCAGGTGGAAAGCATGGCACAAGCAATGATTCCTTAATATGAAATGCACATAATGACGCGTGAAATTAGCAATTGAGAAGTATATTTTTATGCAAGAATAGTGCTAATGCACTGCTTTTTGGGCATTAACATCTGCAAAAGCACTCAGACTTATGCTGTGGACTGGGGCTTTATATACATTCTCATGCTTCTTTAGAATGATGTTGATGCATAAAAAAAGGTAAATTAACCCTTTATAATAATCCTCCGTCAAAATTCAAAACTTACCTCTGTTAATGCATGAAGTTGCCCCTCGTGAACACACACTCCCATAAATCTGAAAATAAAAACAAAATGACAATACAATTACAGGTTACTTAAAACACATTTGAAATACATATACGAAATACATATACGAAACACATACGAAAAACATATTTTGTAGAAGGAAGCCTAAACAGTCATATCATTACAGGCTACAAATATTCACAATAATGTGTCAGAACAGAAGGTACATTGTATGCTTCTGTTGATAATCAAATCAAAAACTTTGCAGAGGCAATCAGTTACCTTTTCAACTTTTTAAATGAGTAAGTTGCCCAGCCTAAAATCAATGAAACAGTCTGATGTAATTTTTGGGAATATAAATTTTTGACGATTTGCAGCTGGTCAGCAAATCAGTATAATGCAAGGTCAGACCCAAGCATCAAAGACTGTTCACTTTGAGTTCAAACACTAAGAGGGTTCAAATCTTAATATGGAATGATTTACAGGAGATTCATATATTATATATATATATTATGTCAGTTTCAAAAGAATGCTTTTTACATACATAATATTAAAAAACCAAATTATTGTGCAAATTTGCTGACAGATCAAATTTTTGGTACTGACTTAAAAAGTTATTACTTGTTATCATTATATCTGAAGTAATGTATTCCATTTACAATGACTTCCAAAAATTTTATGATTGCACATACAATAAAATATTGTGACAAAAAGCTATGTTGTCAAGGACATATTACAAATAGAAAAAAAAATGGTGCTAAATTGTCTTAACTCAATATTAACATTAGAGGAATAAAATTTCTTTAGCATGGGTTAATTGTTACAGCCCTAAATGTCTTTATTCTAGCTAACATCAGTATCATGTCAACTGTGATGTAATTTTACAAAACATATAAATTGCTTATAATGAAACATCCTATGCACTTAGCGATTTTTCTCTTCTCAAATGAGCAACTTTCTTCTTTGATGTGATGTAATAATAAATTCATTAATAAAGTATGGCTCGCTGCTCTTGACAATTAATGTGACAAAAATTATTTCGTAACTGCTCCACGTGAAATGAAAACAGGTCATGTGTATGAACAAAGTGTGCCTGTTCTAATCGGCCCATCATTTTGGTGTTTAGTGCTACATTATGATCTTATTCTATGACAATATAGTTGTTTAATTGTCCATAATGAATATAAATTTTAAACTTAATGTCCCGAAAAGTGAAAAGAAATTGCTTTATCATCTTTCATTACCATTTAACCTTAACAACAAAGATTATTTCATTCATCTTCTTGATTTACATCATTTCATTTCCTTTCAGTAACTGAGAAATTTCAATTTATATCATGAATGAAAATTTCATTTGATATTGTATATTTCTAATGAATTCTAAGCATATCAAGTCATTGCCAATGCCATCATCTTAAAATGACAAAGCTAAAAGAAAACCACTGCCAACGTTCTCATGAACTTTAAATAAGAAGTCATTAATCAAAATTCTAATTTTTTTTCTTATAAAAACAGAACTTGTACATGTATATTGTACAACAGTTAAACCGTTAAAACCTTATATAATATAAAATTTAAATTTCAGCATGATTGTTAAGAATATGTTTCATTAATATAATTTGGAATCGTAACATAGATAGGCCTCAATTTAAAAGCCTGGTCAGCTTGCACTGATGAAGCAGGCTAGCCTGGCTCTATAATGGTGGCTTAGATCTTGTATCAGATTCCGCTCAACAAACCAAAAAGTAAACAACACCATATCACAGCAGTTTGTCTGTAAGAATACTATCAATTCTTTCACCTCTTAGCTTGCTTAAGCTGCAACAGACACTACCCATGTCACCAGTGCAAACCAAGATGAGCCGTCACATCCCAGCTGTCTGATCATGGTTTAAATTGCACAATATACAGTTAGTATTTATTTTGAAATTTTCCCTTTAAATGATGAATGGTTTTGCTCTAATTCATATTGAAAGATGGACAAGTCCATTTCAGATATATAGTGGGGGGTAAGGGTTTATAAAATACTTTTCACCTGAGAGGTTTATCATTATTATATATTATATATTATAACATTTGTTTCTTGCTTGGAGTCATTACAAGTTTGTCATATTTCTGGTTAAATAATAAATTGATTTAAATTCGGTCAACTGTGAAAACTAATACCCTCAGTCTTGACATAATAGGGCCCTATGGCTGTTACTATCATCAAAGCATCTAAATACTTAGCTCTCTATTTGATCATTTGACTTCCCATAAAATATCACCTAAAAAAATATGAAAAATTAATAATTACTTAGTTTTCCTTAAGTACCAAGTTCCTATGTTTGATACATATTTTATTGTGTTGTTTGTACAAAACTGTCAAATATGCTTTTCTTAATGACCTATACGCAAATCAAAGGTATAGTAAAGTATCTACTTATTTTAAATACCTAACAAAAACTTAGTGCAAAATGATGATGTCAAAGAAACCTCTTACAATGTGCACAGTAGATAAAATTTCAACGTTGGCAGGAAAGGTTACTGATAAAGACCGACTTAAAAGCCTTGAATAAGTCATCACTTTTGATATGACCAATTTTCAAAGATAGACACATTTCAGGCAATTGAACAGCACAGTTTTTGTCAATCTACATAATTTCGATATCAATAAACTTATATATTAAAAGGTATTGCAAAAATTCACAGAAATTGAAAAACCACATATACTAGAGCCATTGGTCTAGTTCAAACTTGTTTTCAGAATTATCCAATCAAATTAATGGATTTCTCAGACTGGACTTCAGTATTTTACTCTCAATTACTCTTAGTACACCAGAAATAGATGCAGTCTGGTTAAAAAATACTACTATCAGTCCCATCTTGGCTGTTCTTTGTATGTTTCAATGTCTTCATGTTTCTTGTCATTTTTCGGTCATTCTAAATCAGCAATATATGTGGCATCAAGAAGAGAATTGTACAAACATGCATGCTTCCGAATATTACAATTGTTATTTTGAGTACAGACAAGGAAATTTCTGATTATACTGAAGCAATGACCGAGGTTTTGCTGAGTTCAAAAAGTTACAAAATTACATAGAAAAGCAACAGCAATCAGAGATAAATAAAGTCAGATACAAAATTTATTTTCATTTATTAATGCAACGAAAAAAAAGACCTTTATCAAATTGTGTCTTTGTTGTTTCCCACAGTCCATAATTATATTTTCATCTATTTTTTCCCTTGAGTTAAAAATATTGACTGCCAGATCTGGAGATTAAGTACTTCAAGCTTTCCAATGTATGTGAACAAACACACTTGCTGGATATAGAATAGAAGCTGTCTAAAACTTGTCAACATGTTTGCTGAGTAAATAAAGAACACAGCAATTCTTGATGGTCAAGAGTAAATTTATACTGTTTTTTTTTTACTGCCATGATTTACAAGATGTTTCAATGAAATCAAAGACAATGCTACAGATTTTATTAAACAAGTACCTTCCAAATATAGACTTGATGCCTTCAGGTCAATTGTCCATTTCAAAGCAAAATTTAATATTGGCAGGAGTAACCTTTATGAGAGGTTAAACTTTTGTTCTAAATAATATCAGTCATTATCAAATGTTCCGTTAGTGGAAGTTTGAGAGACATTTGAGTTCTTTATTTTGACATGTGACTCTTAAAATTTCATGGTTTTCCTTCTTTACCTATATACTTACTCTCTGACTTCCACATTTTGAAAATAAATGGAAGTTTGCACGTTAGTACCAGAAATTCTTTTTAAAATCCATTTAAAATTGACTTTAAGTGAAGAACTAATTTATAATGGCATTTAATTTGCATTTAATGAACTGACAAGAAAACTGAAAAATATATTTTCAAAGATTTGCTAACAAAGTTACTTATCCTATTTAATCTGATTGGTTAACTTTCCAATTCAATATCTGACTTGTCAATTTCTTCCTTTAAAATTCATATTTAACCAACCACATAACCTTAAATTGTAGGTTGAAATTTTTACCTGAGTATATTTTTATGTGACAGTCTATTCATTAGCTGCAACTCTCTTAGAACATTTGGTTTGTTGTCTTGAATTTTATTCATCTTCAGCACTTGTACTTCACCAGTTGCTCTATGAGTGACCTGAAATAATTTAGAGAAAAATAAAATATAAATATATACTAAAACGATTTCAAAGGAAACAAATCTTTGCACTGAAAGGATGACATAGAGTTTTCAGTCTAACAAACAGCCTATTAGAATTTTACATGGCAACTTTCAAGCTTTAATAGCAAAGGAAGATCTTTAAGGTGACCAGACAGTCTATGTGCACTATTTCAAGCACATAGTATCACAAATCTCATATATCTGGAGGATAGCTTCCTCTAAGGTAAGAATTCAAAGTCTCTAGTGGTATTCGAACCCACACAGTAGCAGTAAAGGGATAGTTATTTAAAGTTGGCAACTTTCAATATTTAGCTACAATGGTATCAGGCTCTCAAAAGGTCAATATTTACTTGTGAGTAGGAATAATTGCTTAACTGGTGAAAATTCATGTTTGCTTAATGTACAATGTAGGTCTACTACATCTTCAAAGATGTTTCCAACCCTCAACAACAATTTACAATGGTATTCACAACTTTCAACCTACTCTAAACAGTGTTGAACCACTGTTAACATAAGAACAAGATAATTGCCTAGTTCATTTCTCAAAATCCATTTCTAAAGAGCTAAATGTTTCAGCCAGTTTCAGCCACTTTACTAAAATTACAACAAATCACTGATGTGGAGAACGGATGATAGTGTGACACCTGCCTATCAAATTACCAGTCCTGTACAAACTTGGTTGTATTCAAGGTTTTGTCCACCAGTTAATGTGTTTCCCATTCATAATTTGTCAAGGTCAAGTTAAATGTCAGCTTCCATTGAAATATATTCAAAATGTCACATCAGAAGAGACCAAAATAATATTCTCTTGGGCAGGACACCAGTTGTCCAACTTCCATTTAAGTTAAAGGGAAAAGCAGGGACTTTCACTTTTTTTTTATACGTAATCTGGTGTAGGCTCGCCTAAACGTGAACAATCAGTTGAACGAAGTCTCCTTACAAGCACCAATACCCTGGGCACGTACTGCATATTTGCATATATCCCAGCCATGCATTTTTGGGTGCACTAAAACAAAATTCCTGTAATTTACACCCACATTTTCTCAAGAACGGGGATCGTGATTACAAATGACTGGGTGCATTTTATGAGACTAAATGGTTATGGATTAAGTGAAAAGACAGCATGAAATACTGATAATACATTATGTGTATGTAGAGGTATTAAACAATTTAACATGATTGACAAATTTGGGTTCAGGCAGCTAATTCCTTAGCACATACCAGTGCCTACTGTATATTTGTTCACAAGTTTATTAAATTAGAGGTAAGCTTACATTAAACAAGAGGAGCTAATATACCCAAATTAGACCACTACATCAAAGGTATTGATCAATTATGAATGATCCTCAGGACAAGCGGCCAATAGCTAGGTAAACAAATCAGAATAACCTACCGTAGGTAAACTTTCGGCACACACAGATACTAGTTTTAGCTAAAATACTTCTGAAACCACATCAAAAATGAACAGAAGTTAATTGATTTTAAATACCTTTTATGGGCTGCCAAGACTGAAATATTTTATTTTAAGATTGGTCTTTGTAAACATTAAGATATCATTTCATGTTGACTTAGAAGATATTGTTCTTTAGGGAGGTAAAATGATCATGAAATGAATGAAAACATTGTCCAGAGATATAAAATATTGTAGAAATATATTGTACCTAAAATCATGTATATAATACAATGTACTAAATTTAACTGCAACAAAACCTCCATTCAAGACTTATCAATTATCTTTAGATCCTATTCTTAATTGCCTGCAAATATTCTAGACTACTTATTTAATTATAAATCTACACCATTCTCAAACTGAAGGAAAGATTACCATTGGTTCATATTGCAAATTCTAAAATTCAAATTAGCCAATCAAATACTGACAATAAGGAGATCTTTGAAAATGTCTTGAATGCTTCTTTCTATTGATCAATGTTTCAGGTTGGTTAGGGAAGCTTATATTAACAGCCTGACAATCAATGTCACAGACCTGCTGGAGACAGATTATTCAAAAATGCCTAAAACCCAATTCAAAAGATGCCCTATAAAGCTGAACTGCAATATTTTCATGTGAAAGCAACATATTCAATTACTTTAAATCACTCTGATTGATAAATTCTCATTAATACATTAACTCTAGCTGTGACAACTGTTTGGGATCATTCTTCAAAGGAATATTGCCTTATAATCAACATGGATCTAAATCAATCATTTTATCCGTAAAATTCATCTCTGAAGTTTTTATTATTGATGTCAAACTATAATATCAATATTTTATAACATTTAGGACTACTATAAATCTAAGATTTAAATCACTTTCAACAAACATACTAAGTACTTTATATCATGATTTATTTCTGATTTATATAACTAAATTCCTCTAATCAAATTCACTTGTTGCAATTTGACCCAGTTCCATAATCAGATCTTCACTTTGAAGGTATATTTTGTGTAGATCTTCATATTGAAGGAAAACTTTTTTAAGTATCAATATCTTTTCTGAAAATCTTTCAAATTCTTCAAATCAAATAAGCTGCGTCATTCTATACTTAAACTTGATACATATTTTGTACAATTAATTCAAGACCTTACTGAAATATTTGTTGTTCACATCCATGTTAATGGGAAAAGGTCCTTATTAGGACACTTGCATTGTAGTAACTGACCAACTAAAATGTGTGAAGTACTTTTAAAACTTATCTTGGTCATTAAATCAGTAGGTGAAAACCATGTTTTTAACTTGTAAGGAGCTCATTTTACATAGTCTTTGTGTATTGAGGAATGTCACATAAAGGTCAATTTGCTTTTAAATGGTACTAATTCTTACATGGTGTAGTCAAAAGATTTAGCAATCTCATCTTAATAGTAACAAGAGCTGTCTGTAGGACAGCATGCTCGACTATTCTAAGTGCTTGATAGTAAAAGAGCTTGATATTGTTAAATTTTTTAAGTTCACAAAAGGGCTAATTTTCTTTTATGAATTCATGTTATAGGCCTTAGAGAGAGTCTAATTATACAGAATTGGCTTGACTATTCGGAAGGTAATGTCACAAGGGTTTTTTATTGAGTATAATAATACTAATTACCTATGAATACATAAATTTGACAGAAAAGGTACAAAGGCTTGTTATTAAGATGTTTTATCAAGTAAATCACTGCTTTATTATTATGAATGCATAAAATTGTCCCAAAAAAGGCACAAACCCTTCAGTAGTTATTGAGATAACAGCTTACAAGCAAAACTTTACCATGAATTTCTAAGTTGAAAAAGGGGAGAAAAAATCAGCCTAAATGCAAGATAGAATTATGGATCTTTGTCAGTGACCTACAATTATGACCCTAAATGCATATGTGAAGTTTTAAATAAATATCTTTAATAGTTATTGAGATATGTAAAACTTGCATGTAAACATTAACCAAGAGACTAAGTAGAAAAGGGGATATGAATCAGCCTTAATGCAAGATAGAGTTATGGAACTTGGTCAGTGACATACAATTATGACCCTCCAATTATGACCCTAAGTGCATGTGTAAAGTTTCAAGTAAATATCTTTGAAGACTGTTAACCTTTAACCAAAATTTCTAAGTTTCAAAGGGGCAAATAATTCTGCAAATATTGTAGACAGACTTATGCAATTTTGCAAACTGATGTACATTGTTACTATAAATAAATATTTTAAATTTCAATTGAATATCTCAAGCAATAATTGAGATATTTGACTTTACAAAAAAACTTTAACCAAAATTTCTAAGTTCCAAAGGGGCATAATTCTGTCAATATGGTAGGCAGAGTTATCCAACTTGTCAATCTGATGTACATTGTTACTATAAATAAGTATTGTAAGTTTCAATTGAATATCTCAAGCAATAATTGAGATATTTGACTTTACAAAAAACTTTAACCAAAATTTCTAAGTTAAAAAGGGGCATTATTCTGTCAATATTGTAGGCAGAGTTATCCAACTTGTCAATCTGATGTACCTTGTTACTATAAATAAGTATTGTAAGTTTCAATTGAATATCTCAAGCAATAATTGAGATATTTGACTTTACAAAAAACTTTAACCAAAATTTCTAAGTTAAAAAGGGGCATAATTCTGTCAATATTGTAGGCAGAGTTATCCAACTTGTCAATCTGATGTACCTTGTTACTATAAATAAGTATTGTAAGTTTCAATTGAATATCTCAAGTAATAATTGAGATATTTGACTTTACAAAAAACTTTAACCAACGCAGACGCCGACGCGGACGCGGACGCCGGGGCGACTACAATAGCTCTCATATTCTTCGAATAGTCGAGCTAATAAAATGCGTAATTTCAAAATTCCTACAGAAGCAATTCTATAAAGAATCTTAAAATCAGGGCCTTCTACAGCAAGGGTCATCTGCTTCCCCGTCAGGAAATCTTTTTAAAATCATGTACTTTTGCAAGCATACCGTTCAACACCCTTTCATGTCCCACCTCTCATGTATAAGCTGGAAAAGTCTTACTTACCCTTCCTAAATAACGCTAATTACACTAAATAATAAATGTAAAAGATAAAAGGGTTGAGATGGACAGCTTAAGCACACTGTGACAAAATTGTTGCAGGCTATATATGTTTAATGAAGGTTTGGTGAAACTTGTCATGGCCAACTGCAAAATTCCACTAGTGTTGCTTGAAAAAGCTGTATTCTTGATAAAATTTGCATAAATTTTGATATACAACTATTTAACAAAACATTTCTGACATATATCATATAAGTTAAGCAACAACTGTGGTGGCTTTGTTTTTTGCCTATCCTGCCATGTAAGGTATCATTTTTCTATGTCATATTCATTTGTAAAACATCGTGACTTTCAACCTTGACAACTTAATTTCCTTGTTTATATGAATGCCTTCCTTTTGCTTCACTTAAAACCACATCTGTCTTATGAAAAATACATTTAGATTATGTTTTCCTCTATATTTTTACTTGACAGTTAAAGTAGATTCAGTGT